CACACACACACACACACACACACACACACACACACACACACACACACACACACACACACACACACGCAGTGCAGACAGCTTTAAGCCGGCTCCTACTCTTCTTGGATGGTTTTAGTTTATAACTCCTGCCATCATCACCCCCTCAGGCCTGCATAATGTATGTACAATAGCCTTCTTGACTTTAGGGTATGTCCGTGGAGTCCCCACTGTGGTGGTTGAGTTGAGGACAACCCAGTGACATTGCTCATCCCTCCATGTCTGCCTCCTGGGTCAGTCATGATTCTGATTTTACTTCCCGACCTGGGGCATCACCTGTGAGCAGCATCTCTGGTCTTCTTCCAAATATTCTAAATTCCTTGTCATGCAAGACTGTCATCCTTCTCACCCTGTAGCCTTGGTTGTCCTTGAACTCACTATCTTCCTGCCTCAGCCTCTGAGGGCTGAGATTACAGGTGTGCACCACAAAGCCTGGTTCCTCCACCCCCACCCCACCCCCGCTGTGGACATGTGTGGATGGCTTCCTCAATGACTCTCTACTATCTTTTGAGCTAAACTAGCTGGCCATTGACCCCTTGGGATCCTCCTGTTTCTGTCACCTTTATGCTGGGGTTACAGCGACTATAGTTTACATGCACCACTCCCAGCCCAATCCACTTTTGCTTTTTTTTTTTTTTTTTTTAATTTTGGGCTGAAAAGTTGGCTTAGTGGTTAGGAGTACTTGTTGCTCTTGCAGAGGACCTGGGTTCAATTCCCAGTACCCACATGGTGGTTTACAACCGTCTGTAATTCTATTCCCAAACAATCTGATGCCCTCTTCTGGCCTCCAATGTGCCTGCCATCAGGACCTCTGGGAGAGCAGTACATGCTCTTAACTGCTGACCCTCTGTTCAGGACCCTGCCCACCCCATATGAAGCATATTGAGGCAGTGTCTATGACTTTGAACTCCTGATTGTACTGATTCCACTGCCCAAGTGTTGGATTACAGGCATATACCACTGCCTGAGTGCTGGATTACAGGCATACACCACTGCCCAAATGCTGGATTACAGGCATACACTACCACACTTGTCTTTCTCTTTCTTTTAAATGGCTTCAAACAGCCCAGGTGCCATCTTGGGGTCCTCTGTATAACAGGAATAAATTCGGGGGGTAGTTGCAGTGGAAAAATCCTTATACGTGTTGCTTTAGGATTTCTATTGCTGTGAAGAGACACCATAACAATGACAACTCTTATAAAGGAAAACATCTAATGGGTTGGCTTACAGTTTCAGAGGTTTAGTCCTTTATCATCATGGTGGGACATGCTGCCGGCATGCAGGCAGACATGGTGCTGGAGAAAGAGCTGATCCACAGGCAACAGGATGTGAACTGAGACACTGGGTGTGGCTTGAGCATATTTGAGAGCTCAAAGCCCATCCCCCACAGCGACACACTTCCTCCAACAAGGCCGTTGTTGTGAGCCATTGCCTTTCAAAACACGACATGTTATTCAATTAAAAGCATTAACTTTCTCTGGCAGTCAAGGCTGGAGGCACCCAGGAGAGTGGATTCTGTAAATACAAGGCCAGCGATAGCAGTCTCTTTAGGGCTCCTGACCTGGGTCCAACTCGGGCAGCTTCACAGCCAGCCTCACATTCCGGAGAAAGAATCATAAATGCTTCTTCCCCTCTGGGCTCTTCAGCTCATCACATCCTGCTCAGCAAGGTCGTGCACTGAAGTTCCAGAACAAACACAGTCTCTGGGACAATTTGACTAGAAACACAGACTGGCAGTCCACCGAGGGACCTCACGCGCAGCCCATAGGTTTGGTGGTTGCTGGGAACAACCCGCATCCAGATGAGTAGAGAGCCCGAGCCTCCTCTGTCTGGGAGTCCCAGGAAGAAGGGTGGCAAGGGAGCTATTTGCAGGGGCACTGCTGGCATCTGGGAGGCCTGGGCAGGAGGCCAGATGCATGAGCTAGCCCTGACAGGGGCAAGTGGCCTGGCAGAGTGCAGAACAGTCAACATTCTGCACGTCAGGCCTCCTCTCAGATGCTGCCTCGATGTGTTAACTGGAAGCGTTGGAGTGGAGGAGTCTGTCATCCTGACTCTTCGTTCTCTGTCCTGCTCTGTGTCTCTGTCTTCCTCCACACATGCCAGAGCATTGGCTATTTCTTAGACACTGTCCACTTTCTTCTTAATTTTGAGACAGTCTCTCCTCTGGAATTCTCGATGCGGCTGGTCAGTGAGCCCCAAGGAACTTCCTGTCTGTCTGTCTAATGCTAGGACTGCAATCCTGAGCCACTACTCCTGGCTTTTTTTTTTTTTTTTAAATGACTTCTGAACTCAGGCCATTTACTGATTGAGTTCTCCTTTAAGCTCTGCATTTTCTTCCTTCCTTTTGGTTTTGGTTTTGCTGTTTACATTTTATTGTCGTTGTTTATGATGTGTAGGTGGGTGCATGCATGCATGCCATGCCACACATGTGGAGGTCAGAGGACAACTTTGAGGAGGTGGTTCTCTTTCCACCTTTAGGTGGGTGTTGTGGAATATTATCTAACTAGGCAAAGACGTGTTACATTTGTTTTTGCTGAGAAATATTACTTTAACTGTGTAAAGGTGTGTTGCTTTTGTTTATGCTGCATTTGTTTAATGATGTAAGGATGTGTGTTTAATTATAAAAAGATGTTTTGCATCTGTTTCATCTTGCCTGCCTAAGGCAGTCAATTGGTCTAATAAAAGCTGAACAGCCAATAGTTAGGCAGGAGAAAGGCTAGGTGGGGCTGACAGGCAGAGAGAATAAATAGGAGAAATCTAGGCTTAAAAGAAGAGAAAAAAGAGAGAACGAGGGAGACACCTGGGATAAGAAGCCAGGCAGCCGTCAGCCAGCCAGAGACAGCAAGATTCTAAGAAAAGGTAAGAATCCCCGAGGCTAAAGGTAGATAAAGAGAAACAGGTTAATTTAAAAGAGCTAGCCAGAAATGAGCCTAAGCTAGGCCAAGCATTCAAAACTAATAATAAGTCTCCGTGTCATGATCTGGGAGCTGGTTGGTGGCCCAAAAGAAAAAGCTGGGTACAGGTGGGTTCTGCAGATCGAGCTCAGGCTGTCAGGGTTATACAGCAATGCTTCACCCACCTAATCATCTCATTGGCCTGATAGGTATCCCAGGCTTCCTATGTAGTTGAGAATGACTTTATATTCTTGGTCTTCCTGATTCTGCCTCCCAAGCGCTGGAATTAAAGGTGTTTGCCCCTGTGCCCAGCTGACCGAAGTAGAAACAAAGAGGGGTGGTTGTTTGGGCTGGTCGGTGGCTTTCTGGGCTCTGGTGGGGTGGTCAGTCAGAGGGGGAGGAAAAACAGTGGTGCAGGAGCTGATTTTGGGAGCTGGTTCACCGGTTGTGGGCCCAGCAAGTCTGGAATTTTCAGGAGCAAATGCTGAGGCCTTGAAACCAAAGGTATGTGATTCCTCCCTCTTGTAGGAACCTTGGTCTTCACTCTTTTTATTTTTTTAATTATTATTAGCCAAGCATAGGGATGCAGGCCTTTAACCTACCCCTTTGGAGGCAGAAGCAGGCAGATCTCTGCAAGGTCAAGGTCAACCTGGTCTATATAGAGAGCTCCAGGACAGCTAGGGCTACAGAAAGAGACCTCGTCTTGGCTATTGCCAAGGCTATTGGCGGCTTTCCACAAACTGACAGCTAGGCCCTATTGCTGAAAATAACACTTACACAACTCATTGAACACAGAGAAGTCGAGCTAGTGCCCACCTAGAGCCTTCACCCCTGTGAACTAGTGTTCACGGTGCTGGAAGGGACTCTGCATGCTATCAAAGGACAAAGGTAAACACCTGCCCAGCTATAAACCCTTGTACCTACAAGAGTGACCTTCCTGCAAGATACGCCGGTGCAATAGTGGTGCGCAAAGGTTGTGGGAGTAACCAACCACTATTTGATTGAGTCAGGGCCTACTCCGTGAGATGGAATCCACACCCAGTGCTGCGTTGGCGGCCGAGAACTTCAGACTGAAGAAGCCAGGGACCCAGGGGAAAACCTACTACTACTGTTCTGCTAAAGGAGCTCAGCAATAAAATGACTCCTGACATTGTGCTATACTCATAGGTCAGTGCCTTGCTCAGCCATTATCAGAGAAGCTTCCTGCTGCAGCAGCTGGGAACAAATACAGAGACCCACAGCCAGACACTATGCAGAGGGAGAGACCTTGGAATGCTCAGCCCTAAAAGGGCTGTCTCCATCAAATCCCTCCCCTCAGGGCTCAGGGAACTGTGGAAGAGGAGGTAGAAAGAATGTAAGCACCAGAGGGGATGAAGGACACACCAGAGCCATTGTACATATGAACTCAGAGACTGAGGCAGCACGCACAGGGTCTGTCTGCACAGGTCTGCACCAGATGGGGTCCTAGAACTGAAAGCAGATATGGACACATGCCCCCACTCCTAACACAGACACTGTCTTCCAGTGATAGCCACTTGCAAATGAAAATTTAGGTTACTCCAAGGGGGTCTCACTGGGGAAACAAGCCATTCTTAGGGGCAGGCCCCAAGCCCAGCGGTCGACAGCCGCAGGAGACAAACGCAATGGCTTCTCTGGAGGGTCTTTGTCTCATAATGTTAAGTCTTCATTCAGGACTTTTCCTTCCTCCCTTCCTTATTCCCTCCCTCCCTC